ATGCCACAAACGATGCAATATACTCAACTCAATGCCACAATTTAGGGCATGTGAAATAATCCAGGCCTGAGTGCCAACTGCGTTTCTGCCACGCTATGTTGAACTAAGGAAGACTTCGAATCAGGCTGGTGCCCGATGTAGGGTTTAAAATCAGCTAATAGTGTGTTGCTGTGACCAGTAAGGTCCTATTGGGTCACGGTCACCAGTCGCATCACCTGAATGGCTGGTAGGTCCCATTACGTATGAACAAATCTCTCAGTTTCAGATTCTCTTAATTTCTCTCTTTTTTTTAGTTTGCTACACTTTTACATCAGTTTGTGATGAAATTTCCTCTGCCTGTCTCCAAATATATCCATTTATAGATGCTATTTTCCCTAATGTATTTTTTTTGCAACTGCTGCATCTTTAGGCACATTTTCATCTAATATTTCCATTTCAGAAGACATTATATGGTTGGAAAATGTGTCACATAATTCGGAAAAGAGCAAATTCCGAAGGATAGTGGCATTTCAGTTCTCATATTGTTTCAGGGATCACTAATTAGGAAGGTTCACATTTATCTCCCATCTCAGTACCTGACTCATCTTGCTTAGCCCCAGGCTCTCCGGGCTGCATTCTGAATCTGTCCCATTACCTACTCCAGCTTTTCTCAACCTTAGGTCCCCACATGTTGTTGGACTACAACTCCCATCATCCTTGACTACTGGTCCTGCTACCTAGGGATGATGGGAGTTGTAGTCCAACAACATCTGGGGACTCAAGGTTGAGAAAGGCTGACCTACTCATTTGGGTAGTTAACAACAACAACAACAACAACAACAACAACAACAACAACAACAACAACAGTATTTGACATTCATATCCATGCGAGATTTGTGCTCTCCTTAATCTTCACTCAACCTACAGCTGTTTAGGAGCTGGGAATTTAAGGATATTTTCTTCAAAGTGCTTTCAAAGTATCACTGGTTCAGCCCACATCTCTCATTAAAAAACAACCCATCAAAGGCAAGAGAGAGGGCAGGGGTGGATGTTGCCCTAAGGGGCATGAGCAACATGTATGGGATCTAAACCAGGGGGATAAATCCTGGATAATCAGCTTGAGATCTAGAGCAGGCTTCCTCAACCTTGGCCCTCCAGGTGTTTTGAGACTACAATTCCCATCATCCCTGATCACTGCTCCTGCTAGCTAGGGATCATGGGAGTTGTAGGCCAAAAACATATGGAGGGCCGAGGCTGAGGAAGCCTGATCTAGAGCAGAAGAAAGACTGGAGCAGCATTTTCTTTCTATTGCTCAGTTGGAATATTATCTGTTTCTGAGGCATGATATGTTATAGTTAGGCTGATATAATGGGAAATTATAGTGCAGGGTTGGTTGTTTCTTCCATTGTAAGTTCTATTACTCTGACTTCAGCAATAGCTGTGATTTAACGAGTAAGCTGTGGCTATTTTAGTTTACAACTAAAATGTCATTAAAAATATTTTAGGGGAAGTGAATGGGCCAGACAGCCTACTGTATTGACCAGGATTCTAGAGTCTCCTTCTTCTTCATTTACCATGAGTTACTAGGATGGGCTCAGCATGGCTAAATTGGTTCCAGCCAAGCCACATTTATAGGTTGGAGTCAATTGGTTTATCAACTGTTGACAGTCTAGTTAGCCAAACAGCTTGCATTCACAATGGAAATGATTTCTACCTACAGAATTTATCATGTTCACCTCTTTAAACGTATTCCCTTTCTCTGTTTTATTGTAGGTACCTGTGGTTATAATTTCGGAAATCTAGAGCTGCAGGTCTCCCCACTCCTCAGTGCCTCTTTCCTGCTGGAGCTGTGGAGTGTGACAATGGTGTTTGTATCCAATCTGTCAAACGCCATTATCACACTAAATAGCTACTGTTAGATAAGCCATCGGGTGCAGCAGAGGGAAGGAAAAGGAAGAGAATTATTGGAGCAATATATTTTGCGGTGCCAAAATCTCATGCAGCAAATAATACGATCTGCTTTCCTAAAAGTACACATTGTGATCCCAGTTGCTTTGCAGAGATGCGTATGACTCATGTTTGTGTTCATGGGATGGAGAGATATTTTAGTGATCAAGCACAAGTGATTATGTACATTTATTCCTACATTATAACAAACGGCCTACACAACTGTCTTTCTTTCATTTTCCCTCCCCAAAGCAACACTCTAAGTGTTTATTTCACTTATTAACAAGTTAGTAGTTATAGCTATTTCAGTCTTGAACAGGAGCTCCATTGTTGTATTGACGTTTGACAAATGAGCCTGAGAATGGAGGCATAATTCCATTTTTGGCGCTCAGCTGTGTATACAAGTCATCATTTAGTCAAATGCTCAGCGGTATTATTGCCATGTCATTGTGGGGCTTGGCAGAAAAGCAACCATGATCCTTGTTCATAATTGCTATATAAATATTCCATAGGTGTGTATATTTCACTGAAATCAATGTGAAGTATTTGAAGCACAATGCATAGACAACTTATGCCAGAAACGGAGTCAGAGGTTACTACCTCTTCTCTGCAAAGCATCCATCACCCTGCTCTACTTTGTGATCCATGATGAAAGTAAAAACAGGGTGTTTCACACATTAAAGGTAAAGGTACCCCTGCCCGTACGGGCCAGTCTTGACAGACTCTGGGGTTGTGCGCCCATCTCACTCAAGAGACCGGGGGCCAGCGCTGTCCAGAGACACTTCCGGGTCACGTGGCCAGCGTGACAAAGCTGCATCTGGCGAGCCAGCGCAGCACACGGAAACGCCGTTTACCTTCCCGCCAGTAAGCGGTCCCTATTTATCAACTTGCACCTGGGGGTGCTTTCAAACTGCTAGGTTGGCAGCGCTGGGACCGAGCAACGGGAGCACACCCCGCCGCAGGGATTCGAACCGCCGACCTTTCGATCGGCAAGCCCTAGGCGCTGAGGCTTTTACCCACAGCGCCACCCGCTTCACACATTATGCAGCAGCAAAACCAGGTTTGCCACTGAGCATACCCTAAACAGCACTTGCAGCCAATGTTAGCTCTGTGATTCATGTACCTGTATGATAAATGTGTACACTGCTGACATGTAGTCTTTCGTTTTTCCTTTTTTTTAGATGTATGCTTAAAGCAAGGGGGGGGGTTGTGGCCAGTGGTTGGGAATCATGGGGGTTGTTGTCCAGTAACATCTGCAGGACTATAGCTTCCCTGTCCCTAGTTTCAGACATCTTAGCTTTACACCCCAAATATATACAGTATTGTGTGAATCAGTCCTCAGCATAGATATCAAAATATTGGCGTGCATTCATTCTGAAATTCTGCCAAAGCAAACACATTCCAACCCTTCTTATTACAGTGGTACCTCAGGTTATGAACTTAATTCGTTCCGGAGGTCTGTTCTTAACCTGAAACTGTTCTTAACCTGAGGTACCACTTTAGCTAATGGGGCCTCCCACTGCTGCCGCATTAGTGGCGCACAATTTCTGTTCTCATCCTGAGGTAAAGTTCTTAACCCAAGGTACTACTTCCGGGTTATCAGAGTCTGTAACCCGAAGTGTTTGTAACCCGAGGTACCACTGTATCTGTTATGACAATATTGTAGGCCGTAGCTGTTTTAAAGTTCTCAGCTAGGCATCTCTCTTTCTCTCTCTCTCTTCCACCTCCAATGTATTGGGAGTAGCTTCACTATGGTTTTCAGACAGGCACTGTAAAATCAAGGCAATGCCCATGGCCACACCAGCTTAGTTTAAAGCAGGCATCCCCAAACTCGGCCCTCCAGATGTTTTGGGACTACAACTCCCATCATCCCTAGCTAACAGGACCAGTGGTCAGGGATGATGGGGATTGTAGTCCCGAACCATCCGGAGGGCCTTGTTTGGGGATGGCCAACTGTGGTGGTGTGTGCAATATCTGGTTCACCACAACATTTCCCCCTCAAGAAGCTTCCAGATAAACAGTTGTGAATCCAACAAAGCTCAGCTCACATGACAAGTTTACCATAGCTCCCAAGAACATGTTTAGGAAATAAGAATCCATACTGAAGATGAAGTTGGACAGAACAAAAATCAGGAGATCAGATTTCAAAGCAGGAGAAAGATGAGGTATTTTTCACTAAGAGGTGGGGTAGTTTGAAGTCCTCCAACCCTGAGCTTGCCAGGACACCTGGACCAGACTAGGCAGTGCAGAAAGTGATGGTCCTATACTCGTCATAAAACCAAAACACCTCTTTCCCCTGCAGCCCTCTCCCCTGATATTTATTCTAAGGGGTTAACCGCTGCCGCCCCCTGAGCAGAATTCATAACATGGGGCGGCTGCAGCAGAAGATGAATAATCAAAAATTACTTTTCTAATTGTTCCTTTAATGGATGTCTTTCACCAGTGGATGGAATACCATTGGTGGCTACCCTGTTTCTAGGACCTGGGGGTTTCTTGGGAGGTAGCCAAGGGTTCCTCTGGGCGAATCAGAGGCTGATCATAAAAACATTTTCATTACTGACTGTCTTTGGCAATGAGCAGTCACAGGGAAAATGGAGGCATTTGTGGTTTGCATGGGTAACAAGTAGGCTTGACAGACCTTGAATGAGCTTAAGTGTGCCCTAGAATTGTTGATGCAGAATAGATAGATAGATAGATAGATAGATAGATAGATAGATAGATAGATAGATAGATAGATAGATAGATAGATAGATAGATAGATAGATAGATAGATAGATAGATAGATAGATAGATAGATAGATAGATAGATAGATAGATAGATAGATTAGATAGATAGATATAGATATAGATAGATAGATAGGAGAATTTCCTGATGGCCAAGATCCAAGTTTGGGGCAAGTACTGTTTGGTGAGGGAACCCCAGCAGAGATTTAAAGTCACAAAATATGCAGCAAAGTAAAACATGGAAATATAGGCTGTTAAACTTTTAAAACAGGCCGTTCCAAGGTTCCCCACTTCCCCCAGAATAGAAAAAGACCTCACATTTGGTAAATTTAAAAAAATGGACTACTTACAAAATCTTCAAAGCTCAGATTAATGTGCTTTTTGACACATCAGTCAGAAAACGTGCGCAAGCAGAAAAACTTAGCTTTGTTACAAAATGGCAGAAGTTCCTAGATTATTAGCCGGTGAGTCATGTGGCTGAGCTAGAGCAACCAGCTCAGACCTCTTCACACCCTGAGTTTCTCAGGTAGACTGGGAGGGGAAGCATTAGGCTTGATTACCTATTTCCTCCCAAGGTAAGAGGAAGTGACATAGCAGGAAGCCTGGCAGGAAACGTAAGCTATGGTATTAACCCCTTCATGCATTAATTGGACTTAAGTATCTTGGTTATATGAGGCTGGTTATCCCACAAGAATAACCCTCCAAAACCCCTTGCAATTAACATTTATGTACGTGGGAAAAGTTCATTGACAGCAGAAGACTTTAGAAGCTTTGAAATAGTGCATTTGCCAATTCAGATGTGACAAAAAGCCACACGGGCAGGAGAAGAGATTCCTGCCTGCTCTCAAGTCAGGCACTGTTCCTGCAAAATTTACCACACGTATTCATTTTAATTATATTTGCTGCGTATACTTTCCTTTATTTTGCACTTGAGACTCCAGGTCCGGCCGCCATTAATACATTACTGTACATTACTGTACAGTAATACATACATTAATACATTACTGTATCCGGCCTACTCAGTGGTGAGTAAGCTACTCTTGGTCATCATGGTGGAGCGACTGAAGCAAGAAACTGATTTCAAAACCAAGAAAGAAGGCCAATTTGAAATCCAGTCTTCAATTTTCAAATCCACATATTTCCTAAACAGGCATGCATACTAATTGGTTGCTATAACAACGGGAAGATGTCTACTTGCCATTCAGTAGAGTCTGTATATGTTGCCAAGGAAAATAACCCCCAAACTCCTGATCCCGCACCCCACGTACATTTTACAACACGCACATGCAACACAAATGCACACACATTAAACACGGCCATGTACTAGAAGGCTTAGGTACCAAGAAGTTTCCAGAAGCAAAGATTGGTAGGTTACGGGGCAGAACTCTTTGGGTGACAAAGTCTGCAATTTGCAAAATGAACACATTTGCACGATGTACCATGTCATATTTATAATGCTTACCCTCAAGAGTCATTTTTTTGTGTCCTGGTTCATTCTGGTACATGTTTGATTTGCTTTTTGTATATTTTATATAGTTGTTTTAGTGGTTTCAGGTTGTATTTTTATTTCTACGGATATTGCTTGTATATTGTACATTGGCCGTTAGTCAGATGTGATTCCTGCAATGCAGGAAGTTGGACTAAATGACCATTGGAATCCCTTCCAACTCTAAAATTTTATGATATTACTGGGAACATTGTACAGTGGTACTTCGGGTTAAGTACTTAATTCGTTCCGGAGGTCCGTTCTTAACCTGAAACTGTTCTTAACCTGAAGCACCACTTTAGTTAATGGGGCCTCCTGCTGCCGCCGGGCCGCCGGAGCCCGATTTCTGTTCTCATCCTGAAGCAAAGTTCTTAACCTGAAGCACTATTTCTGGGTTAGCGGAGTGTGTAACTTGAAGCGTATGTAACCTGAAGCATATCTAACCCGAGGTACCACTGTACATCATTAAGCTGGGATCAACAAGCAGGTCAATGATCAGAACAATGATCAGATAAATACTCCTCCATTTTTGTCATCTCTTCATTAATTAATTTATTTACACTTTTTGTGTTAATTAAATATCAGTGTTAATTAGATTATTTTCTTACTGAATTTTATTATATATGTTCTTTGCTTCTTTCTTTATACATATCTCTGCACATATCCATGTGTATATATGGAAATATATTTCCTTTGGCACCCACCCACCCACCCATATATTATTATTATTTTAATTTCAAAATGTATTGCATTATTTACATGATAGTGATGGAAGTTTGGATTTAAAAATAAAATAAAATTTCCTAGCTGCACACTGCTGCGGCATACTCATTAATAATTTCTAGGTATGTAGAATAGACCCAAGTGCTGAAAACAGGATCCATCCAGTGTTTTGTGGCTCACACTGAACAACAAATGCTTTCCCCTACTTTTTTTGTCCTGGATTGTTTAGAACTACCCAGGTTCCAGGTACTAAATGCAAGCATCCTTAGTTGATTTTGCTCAGTAATTATTTCTTTCATTCAGCAGCGAACAGGCAGGTTGGGAGTAAGATTTGCAAAACCAGTGAATATTCTCTTACTGTCACCTATAAGGCCCTCCAATCACCATAAGTTGCACGCCCACATTATTGTATGTACAAGGAACGAAGTCTCTAAAAGCTTTACTCACCGTAGCTGCAGGTAATTTAGGGTGTGCTTTTCAAAAAGGCCCCTTTCACAAAAGCTAATGGGAGGAACATCAAGACTGCAACCCCAGCAACCTTTCAGAGCTTGCAGAAGGAGCCAAGTGACAAGAGGTTGGTGTGGACTTGCATCAGGTGGGCATGTATTGCTGGATGTGTGTTGTGTGTGCCCAAACTCAAATTTCAGCAGCAAAAACAAAAGGCAAGGAAGCAAGGAAACCCTGAACTTTTTAATTGGAGCTTTGCAAATGCTGGACGGGTGCTTCCAAATTTGGCCAATTTAGCAGGGCACCATAATTGCCGTCCTGCTCTAAGCTGGGGGTAGCCATTATGTTCCATAATGCTGCCATCTCATGTTTCAAAACAACAACTTGCTACATCCAAATACAACATTTAACAAATGTGCCCGACAGTTGCAACACATCCTGGAGGAAGCCTGCTATTGAGAGATATCTCTGTTGTTTTTAGCTGCATTCAAATCAGCCAATTCATAGGTGGGTAAGTGCATTTTCCTTCTTATTGTAGAGTTGGAAGGGTCTAGTCCAAACCCCTGCAATGCGGGAATCTCAACTAAAGCATCTGTGACAGATGTCCACCCAAACTCCATGAAATGAGAGTCCACCACCTCGAGACCAACTGTCAAAAAGCTCTTACTGTCAGAATGTTCTTCCTGATGTTTTGTTGGATTCTCCTTTCTAGTTACTTGAATCCATTGGTTTGAGTCCGATCCTCCGGAGCAGGAGAAAACAAGCTCTTCCGTGTGACAGCCCTTGAGATATTTGAAGATGGATATCATATCTCTTCTCAGTCTCCTCTTTTCCAGGCTAAACATACCCAGCTCCTTCGAACGTTCCTCATAAGGCTTGGTTTCCAGACCCTTGGTCATCTTGGTTACCTTCCTCTGCACATGTTCCAGCTTGTCAACATCCTTCTTAAATGGTGGTGCCCAGAACTGGACACAGTATTCCAGGTGTGGTCTGACCAAAGCACTAATATTGCTTCCATTGAACTTGCAGCACTGACGCTCTGTGTTTTAATTTTTAATTTCTTTAAAATGTGCACATACTGGCCACCCAATTTGGAATTTGAAGTGGTGTGTGATAATTGTAAAACCCATAAGATGAGCAATGATAACAATTAACACCTAAAAGTAGAATTAAATTAAATCCAGAGTTTTCCAACATTCAGCTTGCTGGGGGAGCTGAATAATATTTCTGAGCTCTTATTATGTTTTGTATTGGAAACTGTACATATGTGCATGTAAGGTTGATTAAAAAAGGAAGGGGGGATCTTTTTTTTGTACATCTCCTATTATTCGTTCCAATTGTAGGGCTACGTCCTTCAATCTGCCATTTGCTGCAGTTGCCCTTTGGCACGGAGACAAAAGTTTGCACAGAAGCAACCCTGCATTGTCCAGCGCCTTGACAGATTAAAGGAACATTTGGACAGGATGACTAAAACGTTTGCAAGCCAGAATTGTCTAATTTTCTCTTTGGACTCAGAGAAGCTATTGTAGCGTTTCTGCTTTAAATAAATCATGTGTGCCTTTAGTGCCAACTTGGGAGGCTTCAAAAGAGGATGAGAAAAACTCGTGGAGGAGAAAACTATCAATGGCTACTAGCAACGATGGCTATGCTCTTGTCTCTATATTAGGAGGCTGTCATGTTTCTGAACACCAGTTGCTGGAAATCACAGGAGGGGAGAATGCTCTTGTGTGGTGTGGTGTGGTGTGGTGTAGTGCTTAAGAGCGGTGGACTCGTAATCCGGTGAACTGGGTTCGATTCCCCGCTCCTCCACATGCAGCTGCTGGGTGACCTTGGGCCAGTCACACTTCTCTGAAGTCTCTCAGCCTCACTCACCTCACAGAGTGCTTGTTGTGGGAGAGGAAGGGAAAGGAGATTGTTAGCCGCTTTGAGACTCCTTAAAGGTAAAGGGACCCCTGACCATTAGGTCCAGTCGTGACCGACTCTGGGGTGGCGGCGCTCATCTCACTTTATTGGCCGAGGGAGCCGGCGTACAGCTTCCGGGTCATGTGGCCAGCATGACTAAGCCGCTTCTGGTGAACCAGAGCAGCACACGGAAACGCCGTTTACCTTCCCGCCAGAGTGGTACCTATTTATCTACTTGCACTTTGATGTGCTTTTGAACTGCTAGGTGGGCAGGAGCAGGGACTGAGCAACGGGAGCTCATCCCATCGCGGGGATTCAAACCGCCAACCTTCTGATCGGCAAGTCCTAGGCTCTGTGGTTTAACCCACAGCGCCACCCGCGTCCCAGGCTCCTTAGGGTAGTGATAAAGCGGGATATCAAATCCAAACTCCTCCTCCTCCTCCTCCTCCTCCTCCTCCTCCTCTTCTTCTTCTTCTTCTTCTTCTTCTTCTTCTTCTTCTTCTCAGGTCCTGCTTGCAAGTTTCCCACAGGCATCTGGTTGGCCACTGTGAGAAGATGCTGGACTAGACAGGCCATTGATAGGATCTATCAGGCTGCTCTTACGGTGTTATGAATTTTTTCCATTAAAAAAATGCCCAGAGAATCTGCTGCTTTGTTCTGTTTGTCTCCTTTCATCTCTGGCCCAACAACATTTGCAAGTTTTTGAAGTACTACCCAGGTCTACAAATGCTACAGAGACAGTCATATGATGAGTGTTTACTTGTTTATACACCACTGGCAATCATCCTTCCATCATACCATATTTGATCAGGGGGAGGGGGGGAGACAACCATCTGCCTCCAGGATCTAAAATACGGTCCTTTATCTCTGGCAACATCGCCCTTATGTACAATCTTTGTCTTGCCATTTCATGCTTTTGCTTCCATAAAAGCTACTCCATGGGCTGAACTATTTTTCTCATCTCCAGGTTTCTTCTTCTCTAGTTGTCTTTCCATCTATCCTGTCTTCTCTTTATCTTAAAT